ATAGTTATATATGTATTTTGACTATCCCAAAACTCTACAATATTTGCTTCATAAGCCCTTTAATATCGTTTTGGTAGTTACCAATTATTAAAAACAGTAGTAACAAGCTATACAAAAAAATTCAATCTGCTTACTTTTTTTGTCTGTTATATGAACATATCTTATCTTTTCAAATTAGTCAATATATATGTACATCTTTTTAAGATTTATATCTTCCCACTTTTGTGTTACAAATCATATCTAGTTGTATGGTATTCTATAATTGAATCTTTAATGCTTTCCTAGTTGATAAAAAAAGTATACATAACATACCTTTCTAAAATTTATGTTTTTTTTTTCTCACAGTTGAACTTTGCTAAAACTAATCCAAAAGATATAAAAAAGGGAAAACTATCTTTATTTAGCAGAATTGAAAAAGAAAACATGCTTATTGACAAAAAGGCAATTATTACATAAACTGAATTAGAATTCTGTTCTGAGTTTCACTTCTCTCTCTAACTATATGCCCTAATCGAGAAATACAAATACAATTAATGTTGTTATATATGATCTGTCATATGACGAATTTAATACACTAAAGACCTGACCGTACCATTTAATTTGCATGAAAAAACATTGCCTCGTTACAACGACGTAGTTGTTGCCAAAATTTAAGTCAAAAAGTCCAAACTTTTCAGAATTCAGACCACGTATCAATGACTTTTATGATCTATAGATTCTAACCCGGTTTGAAATTGATTTTATGACCAGCTTATACCGGTTATGTTGATTTTTTCCCGCAGATGACCCGGTTTAAGTGTGGAGGATTAGCTTTGGGCCTAAGCTGGGCCAATATAATGGGAGACTCATTCTCTTTATTCCATTCCTTTAACTTATGGGCTAAGGCCAGTTCTGGGGAAAAGATCTTTATCCCCAAAACCTCTAACGAAAACAGAAACTTTCAAAACCCAAACCCGACGGTTAAAGATCCGGTTTCGATCAAACGGGTTGACCCGGTTGGAGATCTCTGGGTCACTCCTAACAACAAGAAAATGGCAAATTACAGTTTCAATCTCTCAGTCGCCGATCAGATCTCACCACATTTTCCGGCGAGTAAAGACGGTTATTTACCGGTGTTCGAGATTCTTGCCGGGATCATATGGAAATGCATAGCTAAGGTTAGGGAAGAGCCAAAGCCTGTGACTGTTACGATCATAAGAAAGGATCCGAACGATCTGAAACCTAGCGGAGCGATTCGGAACGGTCAGATGATAAGTTCCGTTCGAGTGGATTTTCCGGTGGCTGATGCGAGTGTGGAGGAGTTAGTGAGATGTATCGGTAAAGCTACAGATGAGAGATTTGGTATCGACGAGATCGGTGGTGGGGATTTGGATTTCGTTGTTTACGGAGCGAAATTGACGTTTATGGATCTGAGCGAAGTGGGATTGTATGAAGCGAAAGTGATGGGGAAGTCGCCGGAATCAGTGTACTGTAATGTTGAAGGGATTGGGGAAGAAGGATTGGTGGTTGTTTACACGGCGGCGAAATCGGAGGAGAGGGTTGTGACGATGACTTTGTCGGAGGAGGAAATGGAGAGGGTAAAATCGGAATTTAAGAAATGTGGTTTGATCGCACCGTAACCACAAAAAAAATAAAATAAAACCAGATAAAACGGCCAATAACCACACAAAAGAAAAAAATAAATTTAAAAGTAACCAAAAACTCTATAGGTAGAGGGCAATCACAACTCTTCAATTTATTTTTGGTTACTTTTTTAAATTATGTTCTTTTTGTGGTTATTAGGTAAATTAACCTTTAAATAGTCAACAAACAAAAAAACCCATAAATAAACTTCAAGAGATGAATG